GATCCATATCAGTCACAAGCATGGCCCTCTTCGTTGGACCGTCAACCATGCTTGCGAGACGGTCCCCCTGCGCATACTGAACGCCATGTCCAGGCGTTCACACACACACACATACACACAAATACAATCTAATTATTTTGGATCCTTCTTTCTAGTTTTTCTGTCACCCTAACCTTAATCTTGCCTTCGTCTCCAGCTCGTGCTAAGCTGCTCCGAAACCAAGCCCTCTGCCAGGCTCTGTCCCTCAAAGCTAGCAGCTAGCATGGATCCTACAAACTGCAAACTATGTGCTCACCTCGCGATATTCGCTGGCATAAGTGAGTGCTTCCGAATTGGCCTTCTCTTGTCCTGTCGTTGTGTGAGACCCCACCAGCACACCCGGTCCGCGTGACAGCAAGAACCGCTATCCTCCGCTGCTAACCTAATCGGAAGGTATGGAATGACACCACAATGCATGCAAAGCAGGTCTTGAAGAGCATGGGTTAAAGAATTCTGCGAGCCTTTCTACAGAGTTCTTGTAAAGATTGGCTTCGGGTAGTATGTGACACCCCTGCGACTTCCAAACCCACCGTCCGATCCTCACCTGCTGCACCTTCTCCTGTTACCCTCGCACGAAGGATGCCCGACGCTTTGGCCCTACAATGCTGGCTTAGGCTGAGATCCCGTGCACCACATGTAGGAGTGCACAGGGGGAATGTTGACATGATATTGGTGAACCTGATGAAGTCACAAAACTTCACGTCACTGCCAAGTAGCCACGAAAATGTCCAGCCAATTCCAAGCCCAGTCAGACGATTCCCAAACATACCTCAGAATTTGATTGAACTTTGTCAAATCAAACTGCTTCGTGCCTCTTGTTTGGCTTCCCCTGTTCGTGACTACACCGCAACGCAAGAGGGGAAAGTCGAGGCACTTCCTGCACCCATCAGCTGTCAGCCGCAAGCAAACTTCCAGCGTGAACAGCAGCGAGTACATAGTATGCAACGTCGTGAAGAATTCAATCCCCGAGGAAAAATCTCTGGTTACGGCCTGCCATTCCAAGTGAATGCCTCAGTGCCGAGCTGCCAGGAGCGTGTGATAGACTACTTGAGTCTGAGACATACTAGGCAACACGACCTCAACAGTTGGATCTTGTAGAAAGGTGTTCTGATCCGATCTGGGGCCGGGGTGAAGAGGGGAGATGCTAAAGAATAGTCAGCCGTTCGCACTACAGGAAACCGAAGTCATGACAAAGTTCCCAAAAGCAGCGAGTTCGTGAGCACTGCAAAGCCGAAGAGAAACGTGCAGGTTTTAGAATCGACGATCGCCTGCGCATAGTGCTGACCTCAATTCGACGTTTCTGAGACTCGATGCTTTGCATCCCGCTTCCGCAACGGGACATACGGTGAGAATTGCTTACACAATCGACGTCACGCTCTGCACGGCGCGAACTTCCCATGAAACGATTCCGGAGGCCAAGACACATACATGCAGACTCGCACTCCTGGACTCGCGCAGCTGGATGTTTTTCTTCTCGGCTTCTTCAACCACGCGGCTGTGAGCCAAACGTGCCTTACAGGACAGCTTATCAGCATCTATCACAAGTGACTTTGCCGCCCTGGCGGCAAAAACCCGGAATCAAAATCAAAACGGCAAGACCTTGAGCGCAGCACATCAGCCGTCGGAACAACAGAGGATATCAAACGGAGCTAAATGAAGGCGCATGTCACCACACAGGGATGTCTACAGTATGCCACATTAGAGAGCCTGACCGAACATGTCGGTCGAACCGGCCTGGTCGTAGCTGTTCAGGCTCGGGGTGTGCTGGACACGCGGAAGCGGGGAGCGGCGCCGCTTCCCCACAAAGCTTCCCTCCGAGGCCACCGAGGCGACCCTCCCCAGCTCCTTCGACGACAACGAGACATCCTCCGGCATGCCACCAGCGCGGTGCCAGTGCACCTAGCAAAAAGGAACCCAAAGCGCAAGCAAAGCGCAAGCAAGACACAAAGAAGGCCCAAAGCACAGTCGGGCTCCGGACCGGCCTGGCCGTTGCGGTTCTCCAAAAGACGAGCGTCCAAGGCATGGAGCCAAAGCTCCAGGCGCTCCAAGAGTTCCACTTGATGGCTCTGAAGCACCTCAAACGGGCCAAGGCTGCATCAAACGCTGCTCTCTCCACCTCTCCCCCCAGCTACCGCCCCTTTTTGACAACAGCTTCGACCTGGTCCACATGTTCAATGACCTTCGGTGTCGCCTCTTCCATGGCCGCACGGCTCGCACTGCTGCGGGAGCGGCTCACTCCCGCTCTCTATTGTCTCTGGAAGCTAAAGCAGCAGGGGGGCGGGCGGCCTGGTAGGCACAGAGAAAGATAGAGAGAGAGAGAGAGAGAGAGAGAGAGAGAGAGGGAGTCAGGTCAAAGACGGAAAAAGAGAGTGAGAGACAGAGAGACAGAGAGAGAGACAGAGAGAGAGAGAGAGAGAGAGAGAGAGAGAGACAGGAGACCATTGTTCTGAAAGGGTCTGGGCACCTGGCAGATGAAAGAAGGAAGCTTGGCTCACAGATCGAAGGGGCAAAGTGTTGCCAGGCTTTTCGGTGCTTCGTTTGCGGGATATGCCAGTGGATCAGATTAGGCCACGCTTTGCATCATTTTGGAAAGCACCTTCCCTTTGAAAGCCGGATCACACATGCTACGCCTCGAAGAGTTGTAACTTCAATTTCTCTGTTGCATCACGTGGCCAGCAGGAGGTCAGTCTCCTTCGGAGCTCGTTTCCCGCTCTCACATTAACGAGCCCCCCGGCCCCAAGATACGCATCGCGTAAGCAGACGAAGGTCCCATCGCGACACTACAAGCTCGAAGCCTGGTAGGACGTTGGGGACAGGCCAATCTACGCTGTCTCCAAATTGCTGAAGCAGCACTTGCTTCAAGTTGGCCAATGCCCCTGGGAAAATTGATCAATATCCGAAGTCTCAGACGCTGAAGGGTTCTGGCCGTGAGTCGCGCTCCAACTTGCCCACGGACTTGCTGACCTTGCACTACTGCTGGAGCTTGCCCAGCACGATCTGCTACGGAGAGGTCCGATTTGTGGTTGGACTGTTACCCTACAATTGCTGACCGAAGTCCGAACACAATCCCTTCCCGAATCGATCCCTGAACTCCTGTCGTATGCTGCCGCCGGGCAAGTCGATTGCTTTGCTTCTGCGCATCTTGCAGTTGCTTCACTTGCTGGCTCAGTTTCACCTCAGCATCGGACTGCAACCTGCTTCAGAGCCCCTGTGAACGACACATGTGGATGCCCTCACTCGTTGCCGGACAGAGTGGCCGTAGTCTGCCTGAGGGCGAACCTTGTGTTCGAAAGCTCAAGCAAGTGTGGTGCCCGCAACTTCCAACAGGGGGTTCTGAGCTACTCCTGGAGGTCATTACACACCGCGCAGCTCCACATGACGCTTGCCAGAGCCTACCGGACCGCGTGCTTTGCCCGGACTTGGGTTACAACCACTTCATGACAGGCTGCAGGTCTGCAGATCGGGCAGGACCGTGGAGTTGCATACACCGTTCCGTGAACTCCTCTGCAGGAACGAGTCTCACAGGCACCGAGAACTGACGGGCCTAAAGTTGTGCAACCCTGTTGACCCCAGTGAAGTGGCTTCCAGCGGAAGCGGCATAGTCCTCCACACTCACAGTGTGATCGCCATCCATGTCAAGAGACACGAAAAGTGTCCAAGCATCCACAGCTCCGATCCTGGCAGTTCTCACACATTCGAACTCCGCATGACTTATGGGGTTCGAGAAAATTTCGCATTTCAAAGGAGTCAGAAGTTCGAGACATCAGCAGTTCAAGCGTGCTGCCGGCGGGATGCAGACGAGTCTCTGCAAAGACTCAAAGAAGGCCTTGACTCCTTCATCTTGAAAGAACTGCTCAAATTCCGTGTAGGTGATGTGTCCTTCGCCTCCAGACAGCTTGGAAGGCAGCAACCACTGCAGCTCTGCTGATTTTACGACGTTGATTTTACGACGATGTGGTCGATTTAAAGCAGAAAAGAGCGGACCCCTTCCCCCGACGAGAAGCAACTCCACTGTGCTTTGCTTTATCAGAAGCCCTACTGCAAAAATGCGCACAGGTTCCTCGGGAGTCGATTTTGGTGAACAGGTGCGACACGAGATCCCTGAGCTCCTGCCGATGGCAGACAAAATTTGCATCGAGCTCCGAGATCAATGGCTCGGCGCTCTCAAACATACAAGGTCAAAGGTTTTAAATGCACTTGCAGACGCAGGGATACGACACCATAAGATTGTCATGCGAGCATATGCCAGCTCTATGAATACTCTTTGCATATCTTCGCCTGGCGAGTGGATTTGACTTGTTTCGTTTCGGAGCTACATTACAAGCATTTCTAGGACCTAGGAATGAACATTGAAGCCTGCCCATACTTCCAGGCTCCTGCCGCGTTTGGACCAATGATTGCACGACCATTTCATGATCGCTCTCCGCTGCTTTGATAGCGCTGCTGCAGAAAAAACCAGTCATGACCTCGCGCGAACTAACTAACTTTGTTCAGGTCCCAAATGGACAGGACACCACTGTGAGCCCCTCAAAACAAAAGGGGTGGCAACTATATGACATGCGTGCAGAAGCGCGGCCTGCAGCAAGAAGTTAAAGGCAACAATATACGACTCATGCACTCATCCATCCTGAATAAACAACCAAGTCAAAGAAAACCAACAACGGCCTTTACTCAAGCACGCCAGACACGGAGGAGCCTAGGTGGAAAAGAAAGAAGCCTTGTAACTTATAAAGCAAGCAAACAGCCTGTACTCGCACACACCAGGCACGGACGAGCTGTGCAAGAAAGACGCTTAATAAAATAAATCGCACAAACCACCAAGCTATGAAGCTGCCCGAGGTGAGGAAGGACCGTCCGACTCGCCCTTCCGGCCCCAACCGCTGCAGCGCGGAATCGGGGGGCGAGAGCTCACCAGCGGACTCGCTGGCACTCCCAGCGCATGTGATGCCAAGTGCCTAAAGCATCGCACCATAAACAACGGTCGCTGAACACTCAGTTCGTCTGGAACCAAGCAGGACTCCCAGTTGCACCTAAAGACACGGTCCTTCAACGAGGATTCTTCATCAACCGACGAATATGCTCAAGATGACAACGGCGAAAGGCCTGAATGTCAACGTTTCCAACTTCCACAGCCTCAGGCCGACTCCAACAGTACCCGCGCCAACCGGAGCGAAGATTGTGAAGCTGCCTCTGCAACTGAGCATGAGGTCGAAGACACAGACGAAGCCCCTGCGTTTCCCAAGGCCAGGGAGCAACTTCATTCCAACCACGCTCTTCCAACCATTTGCGAAAAGTCCACGAAGGGGTATACTTCACATCGTCCCAAACACGGCTGCCTTTACGACGAAGCTGATGAAGAACACGATACAAGCTGCAAGCACTGCGCACATCAACATGACTCTTTCCCGCGAGGATGGCAGCATGAAGCCACTTGTTGCTCATCCATGCAACTTTCTCCGCCCGCTTGACGGCCGCCGAAAGTTGCTGCTGACTCCCCACGTACGAAGACGCGCAACCCGACCATGCGACACAACGCTAAGACCGAACATGTTGGCATATCTGCCTAAACCCCCTGTGTTCAAGTGCAAGCAGCCGGGGACCCAAAGACGCTCAAGAGCAAGGGCCACCCTCCCATTTTCTTTAATGTGATTGGAGCCCGGTTTGCCGCGACTCACCACCCCGAGAAAGAGAACTTTGGGCACTTTGTGAACGTTGCGCACAAAGTGTCCTCATCGTCAAAGTAAGAACGAAGAGCCCTCTGCTGCGCAGCTCTTGCTCCAGCAAACTGGGCTTTGTCTCGCGACTCAACCAAACCGGCACCACGCCACCAAGCAGTCCATGCGTCAAACTGTGCCGTGCGGCCCCTGGGTTTCTGATGTTGACCATCTCTGAGACAGGGGTCAAACTATGTCAAACTCCTTCGGGCAGAATACGTAGGGGCGAGGAAAGGTCTAAACCACGACACCCCTAAGGCACGAAAAAGACACAAGAAGCGCTGGTCGCGTGGAAGGTCTACGGTCTATGTCATCAGACGTATAATGTCTGAAAGACGGGTTCGTGGCACAGGGCGCAAACAACAAGCAGCGTATGTTGCTCATGACCCCAGAACATCATCACAGGTAGCAACCTTCATCACTTCTTGTGTATGCAGGGGCAGAAGGCCACCTCACTGGCGCACTGGCTAGCTAGGTCACTAAGTTCCGGTGCCAGCACCCTGGCAATTGGCAGTAGACCACTTTAAGCCGTAAACCCGTTGACAATAACACTGAAGGGCAACCATATAGCATGAGGAGAGCCGACGGAGCCGAAGGCAGAAGCCCGTGGCAGCGGGCCGTAGACTCGGGCACTCGACCACTCGGCTTGTAACAGACAAGCGCGCAGAAAACAGGAACAAGTTTCACAAACCAAAGGAAGACTAAGAATCAATCATGACCCCAACGATATGAAAATCCACATGCACATGTTCATACAGATCGACTTGCTTCATGGGCTTGCTTCAGTGCCGCAACCCTACTGTCATCGCTGACGCTATGCCACTGCCCCCGCTGCCACTGCGACTGCCACTGCCCCTGCAACTGCTACTAGTTCTTCTACTTCAACTACTACTACTACTACTACTACTACTACTCCTGCTACTACTACTACTACCACCACTACTTCTACGTCTACTTCTACTTCCACTTCTACTTCTACTTCTACTTCTACTTCTACTTCTACTTCTACTTCTACTTCTACTACTACTACTACTACTACTACTTCAACTTCTACTACTACTACTACTACTNNACGACGACGACGACTACGACTACCACGACTATATACAACGGGGATAACGACGACGAAGACTACTACAAGGATGACTACGACAACGACCACGACTGCTCCTTCTACAACTGCTGCCAGCACGAAATCTACTATCATAGCAACAGCAGCAGCATATTAGATCTTTGCTTGCCGAGCTGCATTGAGTACCGCAAATGATACGAAAGCAATGTAAAAATGGAACAGCTGGACCTCGCACAAGGCACTCGTGACAGAAGTGGCTCCAAACTTACTTGGACCTTGAATCACAAGCAAAAGAGGTGCGCACACCGTGCATGCCAGCACACCCATAGGTATGGGCCCAATGCCGGAAGTCGGTAGAGGGCCTGTGCCGGAGAGCTCCACGTCAGTCCATCAGAAATTACCTGGAACCTGACCATGCCGCCCACACGAAGACAAGACAACATAGCTTCCTGCTCAAATGAACGAGCAGCACCCCGTCAACAGGCAAGAAGTTTTGTACTCAGGACACGGTTCGTGCACAAATCGACGCGACCCATCCGACATCCGGGAAGGGCCAATGCCCTCAATGAATTGCGAAAACAGTTGCTGACTGTCGAGCTCCTGCTGTGGAGCACAGTCTTGCGTAGATTTCTCAAGCCAAATGTTGAAGCTTTTGTGACTGATCCGGTGCTGAGTTTGATGCACATCGGCCCAGGCTCAAGGCCGCGGGCACTCGCTCTGAAAGTACTCAGGCTCTTTCTTTCAACACGCACTTTCTCTGATTCGCTATGAGCCAATAACGACAAGAAGTGTCTAAGGTGGAACCCGAACTGACGACATGAGCATCTCATCCGAGTGGCATTGTAATGAAGGAGCGGTACAAAGACCCGAAATATCGACTCACATCCGCCAGGTGATTCTCTTCCTCCAGAGTTAAAGGCTCGACTTGGTCTTTTAGTTCGATGATGTAGTCCAGGGCCGCATCAGTAAAAAGTATCGCAAATATATACATGATCAGGGAAAGCAGGACCATGGCCCATGCCAGTGATTTCAGCGTTCCCACCAGTGACTGGACCAAGGTCCGCAAAGAGCGGAACAAGCGCACCACTTTCATGATTCGGACCACCCGGAACAGTCGACCGATGCGAATCAGCCGCATAAGCCTCAAGTTGCTGTTCGTTCCCCGACCGCCTGCACCCGGGGTTACAATGTCGATCATGAGCTCTATCCACGACGATGAGACCACAAAGACGTCGAGCCTGAGCTGGCGGAATATGGCGGAGTCGACAATAAAAAGGCCTGCCGCCGAGGAGCCAATTCCAGTGCCACTCCGATGACCAGAGATAAGACACTAATCCCTCGGCAGCCAGGCGAAGGCAGACCTCCGCTGTGAATAGGACGGCGTACGTCAGGTGCACCGTCAGGAAGATGGCATAGGCCGAATCCGCAGGATTCCGGACTTGCGCCTCGGCTCTTTTTTTGCTTGAACAGTGATCTGAAGGTGATCCCCAATTCAACCCGGGCTGCATAATATTCCAGCTGCACCCCCAGGTAGACCGAGTTGGACAACACTACCAAAGCGAAGAAGGCATTCGAGAAGCTGGAATTCACCACTCGCCCTTGGTGACAATTCATGAGATATTCTTTACTGTGTCATATTCCCAGCTGAGGTTTGTCTGGAAGGTCGCTGTGCTTTTGACAAACCTTTCCCTCCTGTCACGAGTTTCCTTTCACGCAGGCTCTGTACACGAAGAGTCTCTCTGCTTCACCAAAGCAAGCAAAGCTGCGAGAGAAGTCTTGACATCTCTGCCAGCCGACTGGTTGCTTCGTTTCTTCCGGATCCTTAGCCTCAACCTGCCCAAAAGCAGAGGTCACAAGAAAGCCCTCCGTTGCATGAAAGTCCATGAAGCTAAACAGTGTTACGAGCACGCCACGCCAAAAAAAAGACGTCCGTCACTTCAACATCTCTAGGGCCAGTGCCTCTAGTCACTAGTCTTCCTTGCAACTCCTGGATTGGAAAAATCCTGCAAAAGCCTTGGCCCGGGCCCGGCTTGGCCTTGGCCTTGCTCTCGAAAGCCTCCACGAGGCGATTGTGCGTGAGGACGGCCAGGTCGTGGCCTCAGCTCAGCCGCGGGGGGGGGGCCCACTCCGCCCGCTCGCCCCGGAGCCACGACCGCTCCAATTCTCTGGTCGCCGAGCGGCTGTTCAAACCCTCCAAGAGCTCCGATTCGTTGGACTGCGCACTGGACCGCTGCCGTTGATACTTATCCAGCTTCTCGGAGCCTGACGATGCGCCCATGACAGCAGGAAACTGTCACTCCAAGCTCGGAGTTCTCCCCGAACCTTTCAGATTTTTAGAGCGCCGCCCAGATGCTGCCAGTCATCCGGATCGCGTGAGGAATCTCAGTCTCGAGCTCGCTGGGGAACCTTGGATCAGACCTTGGCAGAACTGAATTCCACTGTCAACTACCTCTGCAGCCAAACCCTGCGACCACTTTTGAAGAAGTGGACTTCTCTCTTGGGCGCCATGTTGTGTTGCGAAAGACTGTTGGTAGATCTATCTCCATTGGTGTTGGCGAGCGGGGCTGTTTTGCGACACCAGCTTTCAAGACGTGTGACTGGTGCATTCGCTGATTTTCTGATCTGTCTGGGCAGCGATGGAGAAAAGAAATGTGCAGCGACCCGCCTGGCCAGGCGAAGGCGCAGCATGTCCTCGAAGTCTCGGAGCCGCGTGTCCAGGCGCGACAGGATCCTTTAGGCGGGCTCAGCTTTGAAGCGAAAGCCCGGTCACTTCAGCAAACGAGCCACGGGCATCTGAGTCTTGGCGAGCCTACGTGGACTTGCCACTCTATACAGACAGGTGCACCAGGAGTGGCACAGTGTGCGTTGTCGGGCTTATTGGCAACAACTTCGCGGCACATCTGTCTGGGCAAGTTTGCCGTTCATTGATGTCATGTCATACAAAACCTCGAGAGTCAGAAGCTGAACATTAGGATGTGACTGAAGGGTGAGTGGAGAGAATCAAGCGAGGCATGGTATCTAACGAACCGCATGGGAAGCTGTCGTTGGGGCCTTCATGGGTGTAGGTCTTGAGGAGATTCTTGCTGGACGGCTTCAACTACTTCGCTCGGCTCACACAGAACCAGTCAAGATCGTCACCTGCATCCTGTTTGCGACAAATCCTGGAACATTTGCCTGCCATGTGCTTGCCAACGCCAGCCTTCGCCGCTTCATCCCCAACGCTCCAACACCCACAAGATGATGTTTGGGCCGGCGTTAAGACAGCGAGGCTCAAAAGTCTGAGGCCCTCCTCGCGCTCCTCAATCGTTCCTCTATGTTTTCCCAGACTTGTGGAACTTGCACTCCTAGAGCTCGGAGCCTCCCCCTTGTGACCTGCCACCCACGCGAGGGAAGGGCATCCCCTCATAATTGCCTCTCCATCCTGAAGCAAGCTGGTGTAGCTAGACTTCTTGCATCCTGCAGCTTCATGTGAGCACCGGCGAGATTTCGACAGCAGAAGCTTACAACAGGTCATGCAGTCGCCGGGTCAGCAGCCAGCCACAGAACCGACCTTTACACCCCGTCCCTCAACCCCTGCGACTGAGCATCTCATGGTGGCTGGTCTGCAAGGCTTCCACAAGCTTGGGTACGTCAGAGTCCACCATGGCTGGGAACTTGGGCCTCTGCTGACCATATGAACTGCGGTGGTGACTCATCCACTGAATCTCCCACGCCTCTCAGCAAATTCTCCTACCAGTGCCAATTGCCCAGGAGTGCCTCACATGCCTGCACTTCCATGCCTCGAGAGGGGTGCCTACCTCCTACACAGAGAACACATAGGGAAAGCAGACCTGCATCCAGCCAACACGGGGTACGATAAATTTTTGCAGCACAGATACTTGATGTCCTATTTGGCCGACTGGCTTTGCCAGTCTTCCGCCGGAATCTCGACACAGCGATATTTTTTAGTCAGTCCCCCAATGTCCTACTCCATCAGGGACGGGTCAATGCCTAGCTTTGTACGTGGTTGCAGGAACTGACTTTCTCAGTTCTGCAACAGGTACTCGGATGCCCATCTTGACGCCGAACCGGCGATCGAGTGATTCCTGTAGTGATCTCATAGCTCCAACATGATTTGCGACGAAATATGAGCGTTGGAGTTGCGCTCGGGCAAGCCACCACGTCGAAGCACGGATGAGGAATCAACACCTTCCCTCCAGTGCGTGACATCTACGGAAGTTAGGGCAGATGGAGCCGCAGCTTTTACAGTATCATGTTTCATGGGAGTTCCTGGCCATGGTCTTGCGAAGGTCGTGCTGTGAAGGTTGCAATTGCTGCCCTCCCGAAAACTGCCCACGAATTAAATCAAAATACTTGAGATTCAATCGGCTCAAAACTCACCCTATTAGACGCGGAAAGACTTGCGATCCTGACTCAGTTCGTCGCCTGTCTCTGTGCTCGTCTCGCCCACGCTCGTTGATAGAGCGCTGCCTGCAAGAAGGCAACTCAGGTGCGGTTCAGTTGTGCACTGTGCTCGCACACAGACTGTAGTGCGCAATCGCTGAAAAAGATTTGAATTGCTGCGAATTGCTCCATCGCTCCAAACAACCAGCACATGCAGGATTATGCATGTAAGCGACGCTTGATGCAAAATTTATGCTTTGCTGCTGTAAATGCGGCAATTGAGACGGCCTGCACGTTGAAGTTGCATGTCCAGCCGCTGCTGTGCCCGTTCGATGGTCTGGAGCTGCTTGCCAAGCTTCGCCTGGAACTGGTCAAATCGCAGTCATACGAACATTCTCAAGACCCGAAAAACATAATAGTTCTCATTGGCAATGTTGCTGTGAGCTTCCGGACATGTGTTGACGGATGCTGTCTCTGAAACAAAGTCGCCGCTACTTGCTGCAAGCCTTGTAAAGTCAGTCACCGTTCATGACCAAATCCGAAGCGAAAAGCTTTGCAGTGCGTTCCGAGTTGCACTGCTTTGCCTCAAGGCATACAGATCGGCTGAGCGAGCAGGCCCATGCAGCTGCAGACCTGTCAATGCAGATGTGGTACGCACCAATGTGACATCTGCGAATCGACTGTTCTGACTAGAACCACACTTCGAACCTTACCCTGCACAATGTCTGAGAAACGTTCAAGTCTGTTCAAGCCAATTAAGAATTGGAGTGCAGTGACCACAATTGAGCCTGCTGTGGCATGGGTGCCGTATCTTTCCCATGTATGAAACGAGCGGTTGGATCTCGACCCCTTCGAGCAGAGTCACAAGTCCGACTATCTAGAGCGCGTGAGCGTCCAGCAACACTAACCGAATGTGGCAAAACGACCATGCTGTATGCAGATGGGGGACATCTCTCCGTGAACTCGTCCACACTGATAGTATGATCCCCGTCCATGTCTAAACCTTGGACACACTGCATCTGTTTTCCACGTTGGGTCTGGGGACTGGGGCGGCAGTAGACAGCCGAATACTTTTGGTTATCACCTGGTCGAACTCAAAAATCAGTTTGGAATCTGCCCTCGCCCAGCAGATGCTGTCCCCACCAGCATCGCCCCGCACCGCAAGGCCCTCTATCTCGGAAACACGGCCGTTGAATGTTATTTCGCCTGGCAGTTCTCTCATAGCGGCATGTGTCTACTTAATTCTTGCATCGTGTTGCTTTGGAATAGTGTCCAGGCATCCACTGCCCCGATCTGGAGTGATTCGAAGAAGGCCTATCACAGCAAGCTCGCAATCCTCACGAAACTTCTTGAAGGCCAGAACAAGCCTTGACAGCATCGTCCTCGAAGAGCTTCTCGAAATCTGTAAAAGTTATCTGGCCCTGGCCGCGCTCATCAATCCTCGCCATTCTCAGCCGAAACAGAGAAAGGTTTTTTTTGAAATATAGCTCCTCTCACTGACTCTACGTATGTCTGTTTCCTCTTTGTCGGATCTACCCTTACATACTTGCAGAGTCTCGTAATGGATGCAGGTTATATGTGGTGACTAGGGCTTGGGAAAAGTAAGAGTGTGTGTGTCTCTGTGTGTGTGTGTGTGTGCGCGTGTGCGTGCGTGCGTGCGTGCATGCGTGCGTGCGTGCGTGCGTGCGTGCGTGCGTGCATGCGTGCGTGCGTGCGTGCGTGCGTGCGCGTGCGTGTGCGTGTGCGAGTTTGTGCACATGCGTTCGTGTGGGAGCGTCTCGCGTCTCTACGTATGCATGCATGCATGCACCCAGGCTGTGACAATGACGACACATGCTGCCGCCCTTCTTCCTTCTCATGCCTGTTGTGGACGCTCAGATGATCCTGGAAGCTTTGTACGGTACCCGCAGCAATCCCCTGAAACAAAAACCGGGGTAGCATAAGGTCTACACAAAACTGCACCCTCGCCAAAGCACTGCTTAAGACAACACCGTGCGCGGCATGAGCTGCACGGCAAGAACAATGACGCAGCTAAACGCTCAACCCGAAGCATGCATGACACGGGCATGAGGTGTAAATTCTTCACCCGCACAATGGCCACACTCACACCAACTGCAGGGTAGTCTCGGCGGAAGGCCAAAGAAAGACCCTGTGTCATGTTCCCGTCCAACTAAGTAACTACGTCCACCGAGCCATGAATCCAATCTTGGCCCAAACCTTCCCAATGATGCAGCAGTCTCGCTAAACAGCAGCCAAGAATCTGGTAGAACAATGTGGCAACCTGGTCCTTGAGCTCCTCGCCACACTCACTGTTGAAGGCACATTCATTGCACACCCAGCACCAGGGTTCATTCCCTTTACAACTGTGCCGAAGGTAAAGCAACAGCAACAACAGTTCAACAGGCAGTGTTTATAGAGTTTCTCCTGCCGCGTCTGGACCAGCGATTGGACGACCATCTCGTGATCGCTCTCTGCCGCTTTGATAGCACTATTGCAGAAAACTCCAGTCATGACCTCGCGCGACGACCCCTGGGTTTCTGAAGGTGGCCATCTCTAAGACATGGGTCAAACTCTTTCTGGCAAAATAACTAGGGGTAAGAAGGGCCTAAACCACAACACCCCAAAAACGGGAAAGGTAGGGAAGAGATTTTACTGTCATGCCAGGGCAGAAAGCATTGTTCACGTGGAAGCCTGTGCCATTAGACAAGACTGCAGGTTCGTGGTGCAAGGTGCAAACGTCAGGCAACATACGTGGTCCGCATTCCACCGTATGTTGAGCACTGTTCAGAAGCGGGGTCTTGTCACCCAAGTAACAAGTTGGCTCAGCAGGCGAGTTAAGGAAAGAACGAGTACGGGGATTTCACTCCCAAGCCACATGCTGAAAGTTGCCGGCGTGATTTTTTGCAAAACGGGCGATCAGAGCTGGCCTCCTGAGTTTGCGAGCAGGGCGTCGACACTCACTGGGGCCCGGGGCATCACGGGAAATAACCCAAAACTGCATCGCAGCACAACAGGAAAGAGGACTGTCAAGCATGGCAAAAGTTTGCGGGGCACTTGAAAGCCCAGCCGTACTTGGCTTTGGAAGTCTGTCGGGCCAGGGACCCCGGCCCCCATACCAGTAGCAAGCCAACAAGCAAGAAAGCTCCCAGCCGTTTTGGCTCAAATCGTTGCACCTTGATGCAGAGATGTTTTGGTTCACGGTCCCCGAGCTGCCGGGGGTTCTCGTCATCGCAACCCTCATGCGAGACAGAGAAATGCCGTTGAGGATAAAAATCGCAAGTTCTTGGGGAACCCGAAGGCAGACCCTGCACCTTCGACACAACCTGGGTCCCTTACTTCCGCCGTGCTCGCTATGCTCGCTCTTTTCTTGATGCAGTTGAACAATGGAAGCCACCAGTCCGGTGGTTCCCCTTGCTGTGGCGGTCTGTCCCCACCATCTGTGGTCTGCGTGTCCACGTCGATGCTTTGCCCTGCGGCACCAGATTGTCTCCACACCAGCCAGCACTGCAGCCATGAGCTGGGGCACTTGTTCTCCCCTTGTAGGCACAAAGTGCATGACCGCTCTAACGTTTCGCAGCAACTAGTCGACCTTGTCCCATCGCCGGCTCCTCTTGCCCCCCCCTCGCTCAGGGCCACAACGTCTGAGGGGTGCACGTAGACCAGCTGGCCCTCTTTTTCGATCAGCTCTTCCGCGTCTTGCGTAGGAGGGCAATGGCATGCCCCCAGCCCGTTGCTATCCTGGGGCGGCTATGGCAGTTTGCACAGCTGCCTGCGTTTGTGCCACCCCGTGGTGACCGTGGTGCACCTGGCGCCTCCACTGCTTTTGCGTGACATGCTGGAACATGAGCTCTCCCCTGCGCAGGTCCCCTAGGGCTGTCTCGAGATCCTCTCTGATAGCGTGTTGGTTGTAGCCATCTATCCCCTCATCCTCCGCAAGGTCCTGCAGGCGCATCCTGGCGACCGACAGCATGTTCATGATGTGCCTTTCTTGCAAGGGCCCGGTCCCCCTACATGTCCATCTTGTTGCCACGCGTCCTCTTCTGTGCTTTGTCCCACTGTTTGCATGGGAGTAACGGGATGGCTTCCCCATTGCATGGATGCGCAGTTCGGCTGCCATCTGGCGCAACCCTCTGTGCTTAGGACGTGGTGGCTTTGGGGTTTCAATGCAGCGGCACTTACGGCTAGGTTTGTGGACACACGTCTGAGCTGAAAGCCCCTCTGAACACTTTGAACCCACTGGCCTCATCTCCGCGCCCCTCTCTCTGTCTACCAGGCTTGAGGCTCGGGGCAGGTCCAACCCCTCACCTCGCACGCGTACGCGCACATGCGGGTCCTGGCAGCTCCGCGCCCCTGTTTTCTTTTCTTTCGTTCTTTAGTTTTCTTTTGTAGTTCCGCTGTTCTTTCTCTATGTCTGTATTTTGTCGTCTATTATGGCCTATGTTCTTCGTTATTTCTTTGTTTCGTTCGTTCCTTACTCCTTTCTTTGCTTACCTATATCTGTCGTTCTTTCTGTCTTTCCTTTTTTCATTCCTTGTTTATGTATTCCCTTCTTCGAATTCGTTTCACTAATTCCTTCTTTCGGCATTTCTTGAGTTATGCTTTTCTTTCGTTTGTTCGCCCGTTCTATCGTGACTTCGTTCTTTGATTCTTCCTTTCTTTCTTTCTTGCGTTTCTTCATTCTTTCTGCCTTTCGTTCTGTCTTTCCTTCTTTCTTTCTCGAAAAGGTCCGATCAAGGACCCCCACCTGCTAGGGCGCGCCGCCTGTTGGGGATTTAGGGACAGTCAGCTAAGAAACAAAAAAACAGCATACGTGCAAACTTGCTTGCTTGCTTGGGGTATGGGTGCAAGCACCCTGGCCCACAGGCCTACCCCCACAAGGCGAGCATCGGTACGTGCAAACTTTCTTTCTTTCGCCAGGGCTGTGGGCCGGGGATTTGTCCCCAGCCCGCGCGCTTGCGGGGCGAGTAAGCGTTTGAGGCAAATTTTCCCGGTGTTTGGGCCACCGCCTAAGACTCAGAGAAAGTGCTGATTACATACACAGGATGCAAAATAAAAGGACCAACCTCAGGCTAAGAAACACAAACCAGCTAAGTCAGCAGAGAAGGGAAGAGGCTCACCCCCTGTGCGAATGCGACAAATGATGCACACCATACTGAGTGTACCTGGGAAAACTTAACAAAGTACTGGCCTTGTGAATTACTGAGAAAGCGGCACGAACTATGGTACATGGCCATAGGTCGGAGGCAAGGTCAGTGGTGTATGGAGGCCCCAGCGGCCTGTCTGAACTAGAATACAGCTGAGAGAAGGGGATTATCCCCCAAAAGGCGACTAGCATGGTTGGAGAGAGCTGTCGTGTGGACAGAAATTGTGCATTGCAGTACGGCCAGTACCGAGAACAAAAAGTAAGTACATGCAAACTTTCTTTCTTTCTGCAGGGCGTAGGGGTCGGTGTCCCGACCCTCAGGCCATAGGCCCGCCCCACCACCCATTGTGTTAGTGAGTGGCAGGCTTTGGGGTGCCCCTGACCGTTGCTACAGAAGACGAGGTTCGGCACAGCTTTCTGCTGCAAGCCCCCAACCCCTTACACTACGTACCCCCAACGCGCATCCCGGCCTCATCCCCGCACCCCTGGCTACACCACCACGGGGCTTGCAGCTGAAACAGGCTCTCGCAAACTGGACCGGACGGTTTGCCCCCTTGTAGTTGGGCGTTCCCTGTCTGGGAGTTCACCACTGGGCCCTCTACCACATCTGAGCCTAATGGCACAAGACAAGATCAGCAAGCCTACCCCTAGTTGAGGTTATTGTCCCCCAAGCTGTCCGGTCTGTTAAGCTGGACCGTGTTGGTCCGTCTGTGCGTGAGTTGTCCCCCGCTAATCTGGAGGTACGGTTGAAAACATAACCTTCCCACCTTCGCGTCCGACTGGCTACCGCTTAAGGCAACGGTACATCACCCAGGTTAGCTGTGAAACTGCAGTTAGTGGGCCTCTACCACACAGGAACCTGTAGGACACACGACAGAGTCAGCAGGCCTACCCCTAGCTGCGTAGGCTACTGTGTCCCCCAGGCTCAAGTGAAGTTGTTAGTTGGGGCACAAGACAAAAGGAACAGGACTACCCCTAGATGCGTTACGGCCTCGAGCCCTGCTTGGGAATTAGGGTCCCAACCTCCAACAAGGCAACCGACCCCTAGTCGTCGTTGTGAAGGGAGCTTGGGGAGGAGAGTCTACGGCGCGGTTCACGGCGATAGCTGGACATAGTCCTAGCTATTATTCCTATGCCCTGCACCTTAAAGGCGCCGCATATGGGGGCCCCCTCATCCTGATCTTCGCGTGCTCTTCTGGGGCCGCCCAACGCACAGGCACAGTCAGGCTGTGTGCTGGGAGGGTTCCACAGCAGCGGGCACACCTGCATACTGCAGATTGTGAACAAGTGTATAGACTGCTCGTGCAGAGTCCTCGTTGCTGTCCAGGGTCCCACGAACCACTGCGCCCTGTGCACCTGCAGCCAACTGTGGGTGCATCCCAGACCTCTCGGATTCTTCCCCGGCTCCGATATTGAAGACCGAATGCCCTGTTGTCTTTTTTACGGAGTAATTAGGAACCCACAGCGCAATTTGTGGTTGCCACCGCAGCCTTCGACAGCAGCTCTGCCAATCCTCCTGCCGTTGTGGCCGCTGGAATGCTCTCTGCAGGTGCTGGGTTCAATGTGCCACTCCTTGTGAACAGGTGCTCCGGCTTTTATCCAATAGACATGCCGAAGAACAGCTTGGACTATAGGAAACACAACATCGCGGACTGCCTGCCAGTCCCCATCATATTTCCAATCCGGTCCAGTGCTTGGGCCAACCTTCCACCTGGGAGAGTGCATCCCCTGGAGCTGGTCTGTAGGCCCCACCGTTTGTGGGTAAGGCTGGTAGGTACACCACCTCCTCCATCTCTGCAAGCGCCGATGTAGTACCTGACCATGGCCAATGCATCCATGGACAGAGGCACGAAATCCTCCTGCGGGGGTCCAGCTTCTTGGCGCCCCCCTAGGCCTAACGTTTCGTCGGCTACCAGGTCGTTTGTCTGGGACAGTGTTATCGCCATTCCCCTGTCCCAGATGTGTGATTCACCCTTGTTCCAGGATGCGTCGCTTGTTCATTGCTTGAGCCAAAATGGCTACGTGCAAGCTCTCTCTCTCGCCTTCCCTCTCTTTCTTTCGGCAGGGCTATGGGCAGGAGGGTTGCCCCCCCTGCCCGCGCGCCGTTGGTGCCCCCGACCATTACGGAGGGCAGTTGTGAAAGCTGCGCACCCCATAACGGCCAGTTTTGCCTATGACTTTTCATACTCATGCTACATCGAGGGAGACTGGGTCCAGAAAAGTGGAACGAACGAGGGGCACTCCCCCTAGAAGGCCTGAGCTAACACTGAAAACGACCAAGCAAACGGCGGGGGGCCCCCCCAGCAGGCACTTGCAGTTCCCTCTCAGGCAGCACGGTATCGTTCCGGTGACTGTCCTGGTGCATGACGACGAAGTAAACTCAAAACGAAGAAAAGATAACGCTATAGTCACAGTCGTCGTCATGTCTCGGGTAGACTTCTAGGACAGCTGCTTCCTGGGTCAAAGATGCCTCGAAAACAGGCCCCTGCTTTCTTTCGCCAGGGCTACAGACGAGGGTTGCCCAGGCCCCTGCTCTCCCTCGCTCCGTGGCTCTGATCTGCTGTGGTTGAACTGAACTGCAAGACTAAAAGCCCCAAACATGAAACTGCCAAGAGCAGCCTTCTACAAGCAGTAGCTTTGATCATATATAGAACGACAAAACACGATCTGGGGCCCAAAGAAAGCATGAGTTGGCAGAGCCTCGTCCAAAACACCCCTCTGTAACAAGTTAGCAGGTTTCCAAAGCCAGGCAGATGAATAGCCAGACCACAACTAATCGTGGCCAGCCGTCAGAAACACAACGAAGCCGAAGCAGTTCTGAACCGGTTCTCAAGCATCTGCAGCCTGGGTGCATTAAGTACCGCAAAACTACAGAATGCGATGTAAAAGCGGTAGATTTGGGCCCAGAATTCGCCCAGGGAGTTCATGCCAACAAGCAGATCGTCGGGGTTCTGCCACGTCACGCCATTGGAGATGGTTCTGAAAAGCGTGACAATTGAGCGGTACAAGGTCCCAAAGTAATGGGCCACATTCTCTCCACTTCCATTCTCCGGAAGAGGAATCTGTAAGGATTCGGCCTCGACCACTGCATCAAGCACGGCGTCTGTAAGCAGAATTCCAAAAATGTAGATGATCAGCCCGAGGAGGATCATTGCCCAAACCAGAGATCTCAAGGTGCCCACCAACGAGTGGACCAGCGTTCGTAGGGAGCGGAAGAACTTGACCTTATGGTCTCAAGGACTTCCACAGCAGCAGATCTTGTTTCTTCGGTTAGGTTGGGAGACCATGCAAGACCTGCAGCTTGCTGGCTGTACGTGCTGGACATATCATGCAATAAGTCGCAAGCAAGCAGTCTTGGGACTTGGAATGTCTTGGGGCTGCACCACGCGGATGATCCTCACGACGCGGAATAGACGACCAACCCGGAGTAGGCGCATGAGCCGCAGATTGCTGTTGGCCCGGCTCGTGCTGTCTCCCGAACTTGTCAAGTCTACCAGCAGCTCCACCCACGAGGAAGTCACGACAAATACATCCAGCCTGAGATCTGAGAAAGTCGCTCTATGGACGGCACAGACGCAACGTGGAAATTGCGTATCTACCCGTCCCTCAACCCTCGTGGGTCCACGGACAGCTCCTTTCCACCTGCAGGCAGACGGCCAGTTCCACGTCCAGTCTTCGGCACAAACGAATCCCCGAATGCCCTCCGCCATCAGGTGCAAGCAAACCTCCAGCAGAAGCATGACACACAAGCTGGACAACAAGACCGGGTGTCCGGCATCTCTCGCGTCAGGTTAGGACTTTCGACTCGCACACTCGCACAAGGCTGGCATGGCTGATGAAGGTCCGCGCTTTAGGGCCCGAAGCTACTTTCCTGGGGTGCCAGTAATGACAATCTACACAGACACACATTCTGACCCTGCCTCCACTGTAAAAAGAACAGCATAGACGACGTGTAGCACCATGAACCCCTCGTTTGATCCGTAGTCCTTGTTGACCGCCTGGTACTCGAGCTGTACCCCCAGGTACACAGAGTTGGAGACCACTACCAAGGCGAAGAATACGTGCGAGACCTGACGGCAACAGTTGTGACTTCCTTTTCGTGGTAAACATTGTAGATGCCCCGATTAGTTTGTAATGGTTTTGGAGTGTGTTCGCAGCGATTTCATTGTGTTGTTTGGCAGCCTTCTGTTTCAGGCTAGCTACCGTGCAAATGTTTTGGAAGGCTTTCGCCAAATAGGTCAGATGGGTTACAAGTCTTTTGTAAAGCCGTCTGATTGGGGTCAGCTCCGTTACACGTGCGTTTCAAGCACGACCCGCAAGTGATTGGCGGAGCACGGTCTAGCCTCCAAGGGCACACCTGTCCGCACATGGCTTGCCACAACAGAAGATGTTCCTGCATCTAGATCTAGAGACTAGATTCCCACAGCTTCCAAACGATTCAACAGCGCTAAGCCTTGAATGGCTGCAAGCTGTGCAGAAAGTTCACAGACTTGCGGTGATGTTGAGGACACGCACCCTACTTTCCACGCGTCTGATTTGGCTTCCCATGGCCCGACAGTCAGAGCCAGCAGGCCCGGCTCCTGGACGAATCCAAGAAGGAGCGCCGGTCTTCGGATCTCTGGGCGATTTCTGCGCAAGCAACTTTTTCAATCCATGGGCAGCGTGTCCTCAAGTCAAACTGAGGCCCCCCAACAGCCGCGACCTACCACTAAACCCAATAAAAAGCCGGAGACTGAAACACCCTTTAGGACCAGATTTTTGGGGGGTGTTCTGGCCTGAGAGGCGAGGATCCGAGCTGCGAGCCGGCAGCTGTGCGCCCAACAGCCCTTCGCTTCCTCGGGCTCTTCGACGATCCTGAGCTCCGATGTGTCTTCCCCGCTGTCCAGAAAACATGTCGCCAGGAAGTCTAGGCCAGGGACTCTTGCTCCCTCTTCTCGAGGTGGAAGGCATCGACTACTTCTGAGGCCTTCTTGCGGGCCGCTGCCAGTTCACCTGCAGGGAGCATCAGTGCATCATGGCAGCAGTCCCAATCCAAACATCTGCAGACCAGATCTCTGCGGACGAGCATCTGCGCATGCTGCCTGAACGATCCAATCCACCAGGGGAAGGGGATCTTGGGGATCGCCCTCCTGATCACGTGACACAGGGTCTTTCAAGCGCTTCGCGAAGACGCAACTTCAGATTCTGGGCTAGACTGCACCGGCCCTCAACAGGGCGTCTCAGCCATTTCCCCAAGCCGGTTCACTTCCTGTCGACTGTCAGTTCAACACCCATCTTCCATAGGCTAGACGAGGCCCAGCTTGGTGACCCTCTCACCCGTCTGAAACTCTTTTTGAAGGCACCACCCCGCCTGCACTTTCACTGCTATCTGCAGGCTCTTTGAGCACACCCCCCTCCTCCGGGCGAAGAAGCATGCAAAGAAGAGGCTACTGTAGGGCTGAGAGTGACAAAGGGGCTGACGCTGAGCGCTCTCTTGACATCTGAGTCAGACATGAGACGAGATACGCACACAAAAGCGCTTCATGTTCAGAAGTTGCCTGCTAACTGAAGCTAGCTGCTCACAAGCCGCAGAAAGCTCCTCCTCCTCCGTTTCCAAGACTCGGGACAGGTGTGGTTCGAATGCGGGCGAGTCTGGGGGCCTTCTGGTCCAGTCTACCTGATGGCAGGACGGATCCCTGCAAGCAAGACACCAGATCTCAAGACAGCTGAGGTTTTGCTCCGCCTGATCACTGATCTGATGGAGTCGTAGATCCAAGTTCAGAAGCCAGTTCTCCAGGCGATCGACGAGTGCTTGATTGTGCTGCAGCAGCACATCATGCACCATCTTGGGCAACGCTGCAGGGTCGTCCATTGCTGCAGGTATCTGCAGGGCATGGGACCCTGTCATGAGGCAGGGAGAGTGTGAAGTACCAAGAGACGCTGGAGACACTATGGCTTGCTTGGCACCTGCAAAGATTGCCAGCAGGTCAGCACAACCTTTTGTGCGTCGCCTGCTGAAGCCTGAAACCATTCTACCTGGCTGGGCTCGCTTTTCTGCGGTCTCTGTGCTCTCCCTGCCTGAGCTTCGAGCCTTTCAGGCGTATCAGCGAGCCGAAACGTCTCCCGGTAGAGCAACACAGCCGTGCTATGCCGCCTGTGTCTAGCCTAGTTTTTTTGGTGACTTTGGTTCCTTGCTAGGGACACTCTGTCCGCGGCAAGCTTCTTCTGCTTAGACAGGCACCATGCCATCGCAGTGCGTCAGCCTGCGGGTGAGGGGTCCAGTCCAGCTTCGAGCAAGCGGTGTCCTCTAGGCCCCAAAATTTACACGCACATTCACCTGCGACGAGGCAATTGCCAAGACGTGCAAGATGGCAGCCAATGGTTCATGCATGCGCGGAGAGGGAACCCAGGTGTCAGTGCCTATGCGTGTTCGCCGCTCTGCCGGCGGCCATTGTGTGTCCTGGCATCAAGCTGGTAAGACTTTGAGAGAACGGCAAGCCCGCCGGCACGACGAAACAGCGAAGCAATGACACAGAAGAAAAGGCTCGAGGTCAGTCGTTTGCAAACCCCTCCCGCAGAGTGAAGCTGGACCGAAGAGTCGACTCGCGCGGGACCTGTGAAGCAAAAGGTGGCCGCGACGGGGGCGGCTTGTAACCAGTGACCTAGAGTGACATGTAGAGGGTCAAGCCTCCCCCATCACGACGCCAAAGGGCCTAGCAGCATCCATGGCTGGGGCTGAAGGGTGTGCAAGGTTACATGGAAGCAAGAAGTCCCATTGATGCCGCCGCCACCCCATCAATGCAGCATGTGGCACAGAAACTGCCCAGCGGCTCTGGTGTTACACCGGTCGTCACCCCACCTTCCGCCTACTCTTCTGGCCCTCAAGTTCAAAGCATGTGGGCCCCGGGCGCAGCACTGAGGCGTGCTTCCACAGCTTGCATATCCTCGAGGCACCAAGACCCCTCTGTGGAACCTACAACAGGATGCACAAGTTGCAAGCGGTCCCCCCGAGGACCATGAAGAGCTCCGAGGGACCTGAGAACAGAGACTCCCACCCGCAGATACCGGATTCTCTTCCATCCAAAAGGTTACTGATCGCCCGAAGATGCAATAACTGGGGCACGAACACTGTGGATGCAAGGCCGACACCCTGAAAGATTGCAGACAGCCAATCACCATCAAGGTCAAATTGCCTGGTGAAGAGCACCTTGCACATCCTAGCACCTTCCCTTCATCACAGCCATGCCCCGCCTTGCTTCCTTTGGCGGGGGGAAGGCGCCCACTGAACCTTGGCTGTGCCCTCCCCTGGCTGTGCTCCACGTGTCACTCGATGCATTTGGGGCTCTGTCTGCGCCAGTCTTGCACTCTTTTCCGGCTCTGATGGGCTCCAGCAAATCCCAGTCACTGCATCGCTCGAGACTCTCCGAGATGCAGTGAGAGCCCGAGCCAGGGCCAGCCCTCAGCGAGGGCAAAGGCTAAGGACACTCTCTCCTCACCTCACCTCTTCTCTTACTGCAGGCAAGTGGCGCAACACAGCTCTGCCTAGGATTCCAACGAGAAGTGTCAAAGGGTCGTTGTGCTTGACACTGCTCCACAGCATGTGATGACAGCAACTGGCAGTAATTTGGTACTCAGCTCCAGCCAGGACATGCTATAGATCCACGATCTTGACTTGCTCGCACACCACGCCGCATGAAGTGCGTCAAATCGGTGGGAAGCGGCGCAGAAGCCGTGACAAACTCACCTGCGCAGCCCACAGAAGTACTGCAATCACAGCTGCCTGGGAGATGCAAGTCTTGCCTGCTGATTTGAACGCCAGCCTGTACCTGAACTATATGCTCAATTTGACAGCGACTGGACAGATGCACTCGTCAGCAGCGTTCGCCTGTGTAGGAAGTTCCGTGGGCATTTGCCATCACTGCGCATGGTACTTGTTGCCTGGGCTGAGCTCAACGATCCGCAACGAAGGCTCTATCTGACTCAATCTGAGGAGACATGGCATTCTGTCTTCTGGTGTTCATGTGAGGAGGACCGCCAGCAGCCATATGAACTGCTGATGCCACATGGCTCTTTGACTGGAATTGTGTGTTTTCACGAGCTGCATTCCACAGCACGTTCTGCTCGCGGTGAGGGCTTCCTCGTTCTCGACAGGACGTGCTGGGCGCCACAGTGAAACTCTTCAAGGCAACACGGCCGTTCAAAGAACGGTGTCTGACTCTCTAAATATGTTGGGTGGTCTGCAGGCGAGGAGGATTCCTGCTTTGCCACATGTTGTGACTGTTGTGATGTCCGGACCTGTGGAACATCCTCCTGCAGAGGGCTGCTGTTCAGCCAGACCCCACAACCCTAAGACGAGGCTCAAGCACATGCCCCTTGTTGGGGATCACTTGGCCAATTCCGCAGTTCACAAATTCTCACCCGACGCCGTGTTCAGCGAGATTTGGGCGACCCTGGTGGCTTAGGTACTTTCGGCTTGCTCTTTCTCCGCAACCTGGCCATCTTCAGTCAAACGCTGAGCAACGCTCACTTCCTATCTACGCAGCCTGCTTGCCGGAGGTTCCAACGGCACGAAGTCGGGAGGAGGTCCTAGGCTGGCATGCTTATATGCCACCCCCTTACATCGCTAGTTTAGCCGCAAGTCCAAAGGCATGTGATCAGCCGCCAAGGAACCCCAGCCAGGAGGCAGCGGCGAGTTAAAGACAAATTTTCCTGCCGACTTTTTCCTTGGGTCGAGTCGTGAACACTGCGGGCTGTGCGACTTGCGGTCATGTTCCTTGCTAAATTGGTTGGTTGGGCGACAGGTGACAGTCCACCCCCGGCCACTGGTGCGGAATGAGATGCTCTCGGATGCGCTCGACGTGGTGACTCTCCGCATGCTTCATTCCTTGCATATCGCGCAAGCTTGATCTTCAAGCTTCTGCTTTGGGCCACAGAAACCAACGAGAATCCGCAGTCCTTGCGGTCAGCACCCTGCAGCCAGGGAGCGGGGGCTTGCACCCAAAGGCGCCCGGGCATTCAGGATTGCCTCGGTCTTCTGCCGCCGAGCCTCCATGGACCTGATCAAAGCAATGGCTAAAGCAATGGCTTGCGGCTTACAAGTCTTGGAAACAGCGCCAGCGCCAGTATCCGGGTCGAGTAACTTCTGCATCCGGTAAGCGGTCCATTCCTGAATTGGTTTGCAGTCTAGCCATGAGGGGCACCGCCTGACCTCTGTCAGCTCTCAGCTGAGGTGCCACTTTGGAGATGCCGAGCTCCTGCCAAGTCAACCTGGCATCATCACAGGTTCAGACTCTGCAGCCAAACCACTGCACATGTATCTTCATCAACCTCATTGAAGCCAACGCAATGACGCAGTGCTGGCCAACACGCTCAGATCTATCGCCCGATTCTTCCCCAACCAGCCTCCCAAGTTCCCCCTCGCCAATCAGCGCACGAAAGAGTCGCCGAGCCTGGCAGCATATTGCCTCACATGCCCTAAGCACGTAACGGGCAAGCCGTTTCGTGTCGCTTCCCTCAGCTAGAACACACCGGTTGGCCTCACCATGTCGACAGTAGCGCAAGAGGTTGGCGACCACAGACTGGAACTCCACCTGAGATGCGTCGTTCTTCATGCATCTCATGAGTATCTCGGTACTCGGCCGAAAAATGTCGACCTCGTGGCCGCATGACCAGAAATTGCACACCAAGGCAGGAGTATCATAAAAGCCTTGAGCATTTCCCACTGCCTATCAGTGGTTACAGTATCCTGCCTAAAGAGTGCGACGACAAGTGAAGGCTGTCAAGGATCCAGTGAGAGCTCTCCACTCCTCAGGCAAGACAAAGGCCAGTCACTGACTGTCTGAGATGATACAATCTGTCTTCAGGACGGACAGGGAGGGCCCAACACGAAATATCCGGTACGAACTGACGCAAAATACTCAAATGACCATCCCAAAAGCAGGGTCTAGATGAAGGCATCCCAGGGTCTTGTTTGCATCCATCTCCTTGCAAGCAGGGCGGGCAGCCGCGAGCTGCTTATGCCCAGAAGAGAAAGCAGCACAGCAAGCAGTCCTCGAAGGCCTGCGGCAGCGAGCCGAAGGTCTTGCTCAGGTACTCCCGGAAATGCCGCACTTCCTAATACATGGCTGCTGCACGAGAATATACCGATGATCTCAGGCGAGCTACGCAGCTACATTCCTGGCGGGTCCGGGCCAGCAAAGCAGCAAGATTGAGACTTTGTCAACCCTTGGCTCCTTTTCCATGTCCATGGAGACCTGAACCACGATCCAAGGGAGGAAAGGGACGGAAAGGTACGACAGCTGTTCTGGTCCAGACTAAATTTTGCCGCCTGCTCGGAGTACTCGGTGGTGTTTGATGAGCGGCTTGGATCCAGCACCCTCGCATGCAAGACTGGTCTTGAGTCTTAACTTAACGGAAGGGGATTGCACACCGCTACAACTTGTCTTCTGAAGTCTGCCACGTCCACCGGACTGCTCAAGCTGAGTGGCTGTGAGGTCAAGAAAGGATCCTGTGATGCTTCACCGAGTGAAATCATGCGGGCTCTGCATCGTCCGAAACCACTCAGCATGTGTGACAGTCTCGGGCAGTCCCGGTTTACCCAGCGGAGGCCCAGACGACGTCTCTCCAGCTTGCGCCTCTTCGTCTCCTGACCCCCAGTGATCAAGCGACATCCACCGGCTTTGCCACTTTTTCTGCTACTGTCATTTGGACTTAAAGCGGCACCCGTGGCTTCCCTCGCTCTCCCTCCAAGATGTCTGGCCTCCCAGTTTTGGAGGAATTGCAGGTCCTGCTCGGATTTGAAGCAGCTTCAGATGCGAACTCCTTCTGCACCGGAGTCGAACATGCATTTCCTAGGATCCTGCCTCAAGGGCCAAATGCTGGCCGGCACTCTTCAGCAGCAGCTGGTGAAAGAGTTCCTCCGCCTTGACAAACGTTTCAACAACTGTCCGACGCTGCCATGACCCCCGCCCATGCCTCCATTTCGTCTTCATAGCCCAGCGCGTGGCAGCCCTGGATGAAGAGCTTCAAGTTGACAGCGTTCGTTCTCTCAATGTCAAAGATGTTCTGGCCAGGCAGAACAAAACTACTACAGTTATGTTCCAGAGAAAGGTAGGTGGGCCTTCCACATGTGCTCGATGGAGTCGTGATGCTGCAGGCTCACTACTCGAAACTTCTCCAAAGCGGCCGCTGCTCGCGGGTCTAGCTCCTCCAGCGAGATACTGCCTGCAGGGCTCTGACACAGCTTGGGGAGACCGTTCCAACACTCGGTGGAACAACACAAGTGTCAGAGTGCAATCTGTTCGGCTACAAGTAACCTGGCAGGTGGAGGACGCGCAAAGCCACAGAAGCTTAAGCTGGATGCCAATTCAGGCATGAGTGACCATGCTATGGGGACAAGGCTCTTGGAGTCTGGTGCCCTTTTGAAAGGACGACTTGATTACCGTAATCTGCCGCACCTGCGTTGGTAGAGTCCAGAAGATGCCACAGCGTACGAATGTTTCCAACATACCCCATGCGGTTGAGGGCCTGCAAGCATGTGCCGAAGCTTCCAGGGCTGCGATATGAACCAGGTGGCAAGCGGTCCCTGTCTCAGCTCCACCAATTCCCCTAGATTCTGCGACACTGACATCCGGGTCCTGACAGAACTCGCGCATGTCCATCTTCCCGCTGCCATCGATGTCCAGCACCCGCCAGGCCCGCGACAAGGTGCCGAACTTCGACACGAGCACCTAGCAGGCCATGCCAGTAACGCGGAGAAAAGCACATCATATTACAAGATATTACATCACTCAAGTTCATGCCGATGCCAACCATATCGAAGAACTGCAGCCAGGGTGCATCCTTGAACTCATCGACGGCGCTGCACCGGGAAAAGAATGATTGGGACATGCGGTAACTGTCACCCATTCCCGATTCTACAAGCATTCGCCGTCGGAGATGTGGGCCCGAATTCCACCACATGGCGTCTTGCACGGACAGCTGTCGCCGTCATAAGATAAGCCACCCCGTAGCCGCTACCTTGAGCCTAGATGTTCAACAAGAATGACAAGCCATGTCATTGTCACCCGCAGCCACTTGGGAGACTCAAAGCGACTATGCAGAGCGCCTGGGCCTCTAATTTTTCGAACATTTAGAGGCTGGGGCGCTGTCAATGCTGCCAGCAGAAGAATGGGGTTTCTGAGACCCCGCAGCCCCTACGAGTACTTTTAAGAGGCTTTTGGAAACCTAACACCTGGCGCACGAAAGCTCAACAACTCTGGCGACCCATGCTGCCAAAGCACGCTATATTTGCCGTCCGACAAAGTTGGGTGGCCAATGTGGGCCAAATGCAAGCCTTACATACCACCGGCAGCATCATACGGTGCTCTGGTCAGGACCCGACTCCGGCAACTCAACATGTCTCCCACCACATCTGGCTCCAAGTGGCGGATCTGGTGCATGCCTCGGGAAAGGCAGCACAAACCTCGACATGCGTTTTTCAAACTCAGATGAGGTGCGGCCGGTCACCAAGCGGATAGAAACGAGACAGCAAGAAGCCATTGCCGCCAAAAAGTAGCCCGAGACTTTGAGCCCTCAGGAAACATGCGAACAGGATGGTGTGTGCTGAGCAAGACCCACTCTCAAAGCGCTCGTCTCAACAGAGTCCGGCTCTGATCCGGGATCCGCCGAGGTTCTTGTGCAAGCCACTTTGCCAGATGGTGACACCGAGCACTGATCCAGCTGACCATTGCGCCAGACATGCACTCGAGCGCGCACCTAGGCAATCCCTGATAAAGCGCAGCACCAACGGATCTGTTCTGTAGCACATTGAAGCCAAGGCTCACAAGTTCTTCGGCTCGACAACCAACCGTGACACATTGCCACGTACTCCTCGGCTGATTTTCGTCTTAGTTACAGGCTAGCCTCCAGAATTGGCAGAACCGCACCTAACCTGGACAAGCCACTCGAAGCAAGGAGCCTCGGAGTCTCATGTCACATCTGGAAACTGAGCTCGACATGCTGCGACCAAGATGCCGACTTGCAGCTGGAGCTGAAGGTCGAAATATGCACGGTGGGTTTTTGCCACAAGGATGAGGCCAGAGCTGGGCACATCCAGGCCTCAGAACACGCCGTAGATCCAGCATGGCATGTCAGCGCCACTCTGGGCGGCTCCCGTCGGCTGAAGGTTCCTCCGAGGCCCAGGCGGTGGAGAAAGCCCCGAGTAGCCGCCAGATCACCCAACACTGGAAACTGGCGGGGAGGGTACTGGGCTTCCAGATACGCTCCCAGGGACCCGACACCTCGAAGCAAACCATCGCAACCCTTCAGTGCTTCGCGTACCAGCAAGAACAAGTCAGGCCAACTTTCACCAGCCACTGTTTCGCTCGGTTTCTCCCGAGTCGACGGACCAGTACGGCGGCTTGCAAACCACGAGCAGCTCCTGAGCAAAACAATGTCGAGGCTAGGTTGGCCAAGCGTATGCCGAGCAAGGCACCTCGCTCTCCAACGGAACCAACAGCTCGCGGGAGCTTGCGCTCGGCAGCAGGCCTGAGATCCGTGTTGCCGGCTGCCTCGTGCACTGCCAAATCTGTTAACCGACTCCGCTTGGACTTCTTGCACAGTTACACCTCTCCCCCAGGCCTTGCCATCGCCACGGACGCAAATCTCAGAGCCCTCGCTGTAGCAACCCACATCCTTCGCAAGAATGGTGACATCAGCCATGCACTGATGGTCACTGCAGCTCCATGTTCTACCTTTCTTGACTATACACAACATATACCACAACATACGGATTGACCGACCTGAGGCTAATCTCCACCCGGTTCTTGGAGCCACAGCAATGTGATGAAATTCCAACTTTTACCGAGAAGTCCTGGACTGCAAGCAGCCAAGGTAGTTACAAGCCCAGGCAGCAGTCAGAGCAGAAGAGCTGCAGTCCAACTGCATGGAAGAACTCCACCTGAGACGAGACAGCCAACCACTTGCTCCAAACTCTAAACGATGATGGTCCTTCCATTCCATCCACCAGAAGAGTGGACTCGATCTGCTTCCACCAAGACACGTACCCCGCTCACAGGAAGCCACCATGTCCGCCAGCTGCTTCATCATCTCCTTTTCACAGGAGATGCGCTCGGGGGAATACGTGCTGTCATGTCCCCAAAATCACCCCTCAGCTGCAAGGCTCCATATCTTCGCTTGTCATCTGGATAGCATCATTTGCTGTGCGGCCAGCATGCTGATTGCAGGCCGCACTGTTGCGTGTGAGACAAGCAGCCCGGGGTACAGGAATCCCGCTCCCCGTAGGCATGCGCTATCAAAGAGGATCTTTCTCCTAGACGGGGCCATGCTCACTCAAGCCTAGCTACTGTGGGATCCTGACCACAACCGGGAAAGCAACAATGGCAACAGCTCGGCTCGTCGCGTACACTGCTACCCGTCTCACCTTCGTGTGCTTTCGGCTTGCAGTCCGGATCCGTGACCAACGCCCAATGCTGCAAAACACATCTTACCGCAATGCGGCTTGCAAGCTGCAGGAGGGAACCTGAATCACATGGCACTGTCATTGCTTCCGACCACTGAGATCAACATCCTCGTTTGAAACCGGTAGCGTTTGTGGCTTAAAAGTCGGATCACGACACACCTAATTGCTCGTCCCAGCAACACCACAAACTCGCCGGACTTTGCCGCTGCGCCGGTGTGGATCAAAGCCCTTGCATAGCTGCGAACAAGTCCTGCCACGGAGGCCCGTGCCCGTAATAGTCAAGGTGTCTTCAGTGTCTGAGATGTCTGCGAGCCCTAAGTTGTCACAACGTGGGCAGAGCAAGGACAAAGAGGCCTGTGTAGCACTGCAAAAGCTTCTTCGCGGCATTGGTCTGAAACCTCAGGTGCACATTCAACAGAACTAGACCGTTCAGGGTTGCAGGTTGCGCTCAGTGCTGATAGCAATGCACCCATGCTTGTGCTGCATGTTGCTCAAGCTGAAGGCGCGTTCTATCATTCAAATGCTTGGTTCATGGCATTGTCGCTCTCCCGCAAGAGGCAAGGATCTGCGAGAAGGAGGTCCCCCTGTCCCGTCTCAAGCCCTTGGTGCAGAAGCAAAAGCAGGACCCGGGAGTCTAGATATGACCCGATGTTTGGGGTCCCGGTTCTGTGACAGCTGAGCCGCCCTGCAGGTCGAAGGGAACGGTGCGGCCACCGGTCTGCCACGCCACATAGTGGAAGAAGGCTTGGGCCAACTCGTGATAATCTTCCGTACCATCCAACATAAACTTTGTTACGTCGGTCGACGGGTAATCCATGATGACCACATAAGAGTCCTGCCGTCGTCCCTCCACATCAGCTAGGAGGCTGGGCCGCGGGAGTTAAGGAGGCAGCCTTTCTTATCTTTCCCTCCTTTCGCACTTACTTACATTCCGTAAGGCATCCGCTTTTTTGTAGCGAGCACTTTGGTTTCATGTGACCGATAGTCTAGGGACACCGCAACTATCGATCATTGCTGCCTTGCGCTTTTCAGCAACCCAGCTCCGAGAGCGTTAACTGTGTGATCTTGCTGTCGAGCACGCGACAGCCCACAGGCGCGCAGATCTTGACTTGAGGCGCTTCCCCTCCACCTGCAGAAACCACGCGTGGAGAAAGATTTGCAAGACTTGCCAAGGGAGGTGGTGCAGTTTCGGCTTGCTGCCCAGCTGCCATCAGCCAAAGCAATCTCTGAAAGGTACTGGTTGAAGTTTGCAGCGTGCCTGTCACGCATCTAGGTGCGCATGCACAGGCAGCGAAGGTTGGCCGACTCTTGCCAAGGCACTGGATCAGCTCTTTGCTGTCGTGCAACGCCAACATCGTGTGAGCGAGTGTTTGCTCGCTCAAGGATGCACAAATATCTAGCAGCACATACCTCAGGCAACTTCTAGGCCCCATTCTCGCCATCTGCAATGCATATGCACTTCGAACTTCGAAGTGGCTCAATGACATTTGATGCCTAATTAGGCGGACATCTGGATATGTTCAATCCACTTGTTCAAGCCTGGGCACCTGGAGGTGCCTTCCACTCGTGCCCGCATGAATACATGGGGCATACACGCTCTCTCCTTACCAGCTCTCGAGGCTCATTTCAAGAACTACGATCCCAAAACACAATAATTTTCATAGGCCCTGACCTCAAATTCAGACTCAAGTACTCACATCTCCGAAAAGGCAGACTATTGTGCGAAGGCAAGATTCCGTGGCAGGCCATGTGAAGGGAGGCTTTCCACCCGATTGGACGCGCCGCGCCATGCTGAAGCGCGACGTAAACTGGGAGAAAGCTCCTTGGCTGGGAACACATCCAAACCTAACCGGCATCGACCTGGAAAAAGCAATAGCTCAGTCTTTCTTCAGGCATCCCAGATTTTCGATGCCCTCCAGGATGACTTCGTCCGTCAGCCGGAAGGGATTTCCATGCACTCCTGGGCCGTCCTCCAGGGTGCCGTACGGCCACGTCGGGAGACGATGCTTAGGCAAACTGGGCGGCAGATAACATGAGGTTAAGCCACACTATCTGCTCAGATAAGCTTCCCGGATTGGGGCGGCATCGACGCGCAGCAGCAGCTGTGGCCCATACTGCTGGGACAGTGCTGAAGAAAGCTCTTCCTCATCCATAAAGGCGGCATCCAGCACATTACGACACACGGAGATGGCAGTCCCCATCTTTGTGGGGACCAGGGGCTACACGGGGACTTCGTGCAGCGTGAGCCAGATGGCCCTGCATGGTCACATCAAACACCGCAGAGAGGAATAGTGTTTTCCTAGTGCGCTGGACCCGTGCGCTTCGGACGCTGGAGGCAGCAAGCATTGCAAAACATGTCTTGGCAGTCTTGGTTGCAAATAAAAGTCCAAGCTTGACGTGCCAAATGGCAATCTGACGTGCTTAGACGCTGCTGCTCGGAGTCCTTCTGCAAAGCAAGAGCCAGGTCCAAATCCCACACCTGGTAGGGAAAAGAGCCAACCGCGCAACACAGCCTGTGTGGCACGTTGAGGCTGTTGAGGCTTTGAGGTAGGCCTCGAGATTTGCCAGCGCCCATGCCAGATGGCCAAGCTCACGCCAAGTCAGACGCCCTTGTGAAAGCAGCTCCCTCGACATGGTCCTGGCACATGTCATTTCCATGGAACACGAACAGATCCCAGGAGCTCGAAACGTCGTGATGCTGGAGACTCGCCAAACCGGAGCTCCCCCAAACCATCGCAACATCATATCGTATCATATCGTAACTGCTGCCGAGCGACAGAAGAGGCGAGAGGACGGCCTTTTCTGCAAAGCCCACCGATGACAAGCACCAAACCTCAGGGAGTGAGAAGTGGTCTCTGATGCACAACCCGCCCGTGCCATGCGCCGGAATGTCAGCATACAAACATACTAGGAAATACTAGCCACAGTTCAGGCCGGGGCACGAGCAGCACGATTTCTTGCGGCTTCCTTACAGGGTCTTGTTGGCGGTGCCTTCATGTGAAACTCGCAGGTGCAGCGGTTCCGGAGGCCTACTCTTGCGACGATTTGGAAAGGCAAACGGCATGTCAAAGAGCGTTCTGACACACACCACTTCATCCGAAAGTCGCTCGAGCAGTTGAAGCTGGTCCGCAGGCGGAACGTAGAAGCTGAACATCCTCTCAGGGATATGTCGATGCAGTGGAAGTCGGATGCAGCGGCTACAAGCACTCTTTGCACAATTGCCAAAGCTCGCCCACAACAAGGCACGCAGAACGGCAAACCGTGCGGCGCCTCCGGCAGCAGAGAAGGCTGCTGGGCGAGCCTCCGGGTGTAGACGCAGTTTTTTCCGAACAGCTCCAGAGACAGGCATCAGGTGGCCTACGCACGAGATTTTGGAGCGTTCCATCTTCCACTCCGCCTGAGGCACAGCTGGGGACACGTGTCCGAACTGATCGTAGTCTTAGAGACCACTCGCCTGTCGGATTTTTGCCAACAACCTGCAGGGACCACTGCCACTGTTCCTAGGTCAACGCACATGTCTGCTCAGCCACCTGGAGAAACCAGACATGAAGTACAATTCCATGGGGGTTCCATGGTCCTTGCTTCACACCACCAAGCCGCAGCACCATCGCAGGCCATCCTCGTGGAGCCCAGACTAATCCCATCGTGCTGCAATCCTCGCATGAAGGCTCAAGATATTGCTGCTCATGATTCTAATTGTCTCAACCTGCACGACCAACAGCAAGGCTGAGGCACTCTGCTGGGGCATGGCCCACAGAAGCTGAAGCACAACAGCCCATTTCTTTGCCTAAGCTTGTTCTTGTGCGGACGCATCTTATGCCGAGACTGAACCGTCTCTGCTTCCGAGCAACCTTCTCGCATGCGTGCATTGCTGCATTGACAGGGATGACACTCCTTGTCATTGCTTATATCGAGAAAACTTCTCAGATGTCTCTCTGTGGGGTGCTGTGTGGTGCCCAAGCTGCCAAGCATCAGCTGCAGCAGAGAGGCGGCCATGCCTTCGTAGAGAGCCAGAGCTGCCTTCGCATTCTGCACGGAAGCAGCTGAAAAACAGGAGCAGGGCCGCTTAAGCTGTAATCCCTGAAATTTCAAACTTCACAAGCGTTTGTTTTTATCGAGCATGTGCGCGATCCTTCCAGATGCCAAGATGCCTGCCACTGACCGGAACGCACACAGGCACTGATAGCCGCGGACACACTGATGTTGTCTGGCCTCAGGTCCTGCAATTTGTGCTTGCATGATCTTGCATGGCTGATGACTGGCACAGCTCGTTGGGGCGTGCATGCAGACATGCATACCTACATGGTGCCGTCGCAACTGGTGGAGGGATGATCCTCTTTGCCATCTTTGCACTCGGCAAATGTTATCAGAGTTGTTCTCATCTGGCAAAGCTATTCTCAGCAACAGGAGCGCAAAGCGGCTTCAGCCACGTGTTGAATATTATGTATTACAGAGACGAATGCTTCTTTACGCAATACGTCTTCTTAAGCCCGCTGAAATCAAACAATTCCGGGGAGAGTTGCAGATAGCTGCAGGTTTTGAGGGAATCTGGCACTCGCAACCACAAAGCGGGAACACGTGAGTTTCCGCATGAGCTCATACCTGACTCGGCTGTTAATGCAAGGCACGCAGGAAATGCATAAGACTAAGAACATGTCAGGTTCGGCATGACTCATGGGATGGACCATTGCTAGCCAATGTGTGGACATACAATCAGAGACACTCAGTGAACCATGGACAGTCTGGCCCCGTTGCAAGCTTTTCAAACGCAGCTGATGGCAAAATGATTGGTCAGTTCTTCATGAGACCCGATTGTCGATCGTGGGTAGTCGTCGAGCTGTCAAACACTCCGAGGCCCTCTTGTAATCGACATACAAACACTGAGGGCTTCCCGAGGGCCCATCAAGAACATCTACAATGCAGCGGTGGGAAGCGAAAACGAGCGACACACACAAGAAGACCCAACAGCTGAGTGGAGAGCTCCAAGATGGTCATGAGACTCGCGAGTCGGGACTCAAGTGGGCCTGCTTCGCCATGCCGGAGAGCAGCACCAAGGCCATTGCCCAGCTTCCAGCACGCTCGCACGCAGTGATGGCTGAATTGACACAGATCTCATTCAGCGTACCACATGCGGACCTTATCTCAAAGACCACCTATGACCTATGCAGGAGGCTGATGATTCGCCTTGTGCCTGTCGGCTTCGGCTGTACAATGACAGCCGAGGGTCAGCTCCGACAGGAGGGCCACTGCCATCTGCCACTCTCCAGCCTCTTTTGCTGCATGCCACACAGGAAACACGTGCTAAAAAAAACAGGCTGTATTTCTAGCGGTCATGCAGTGGTGGCGGGAAAGAAACCCCTGTAGCTTGCTCCTTGTCCTCCGGTACAGTACAGACATGGGTAGTCACCGGATAGTTGATTCAAAAGCTTGAGACGGTGCCTTCGCACAAGCACCGATCACAGCACCGTAGGCAACGATGTCAGCACCGGGAATCTGTTGCAGCAGCTCCTGCGACACATCAAGATCCAAAACAGCTTCCAAAAAACCCTGGGATCTTGTCAGGAAGTGCCCGTTTAGATTCGAGCTCCGAACTGCGGAACCTTCGGCATCGCTTACACCGCGAGACTGCCCTTGGTGGCTCCAGTGACTGCTTCCAGCGCCCCAGGGGCTCCAAGCCAGAGACCACCGCCGTGTAGGAGATAGCATCCTGCCCAGGTTGTCCCCAATTTTCAGTGCAAGCCGCTAGCTCTCTAGCCCTAATGTGGTCTCCTGATTTATTGAACCCCCTCCCCTCCACCCCTGAACATCCTGAGTCCGCACTACTTGTTGCGCGCGAGGTCCGTCCGCCCCCCGCAAACCCTACGTAAGCTGTTTGGGGGGGGGGGGGGGGGG